CTCTGAATGGCAAGCAGGCTGACTACAAAACCCACACAATAGCATAGGGCTTCTTATCTCCCTTTATTAAAATAGAAAATAGCTCTTTTCACTAAGTGAAGAGCAAGAGTGTCTATGGCAAGAACATAAAAGGTAGTGAACCTTTTTTTTTCCTATGCCTCTAATAGATTAAAAAAACAGTTAATGAGCTTAAATTGCAGTAAGGGATGATAAAGACGATAAGCCCTAAAACAAACTTCCCAGCACTGAAGATATCCTTCACTAGAAGTCTTTGGGAACAGATTACAGGTGTAGCTGCATAAATCAAKTGGGTTGCAGAGAGCTCTGTCCTGAGGTCATTACTATTCACTATTTGTCATTAACAGTTTTCATGACAAAAGAAAATGTATGTTTATGAAATACATGGAGAAAGCTTAAGCTGTGTGGTTCTCTGAGCATGCAGAACTGTAGAATGAAAACCCAACATGTTCTTAAAAGACTGAAGAACTGATCTGAAAATAACTTTTATTTAGGCATAGGCAGCACAATAAAACACACGCAGTACTAATCTAACCTGAAGTCCCACCACTTCAAATAAAAATTTTGAGATCCTGTCATCAATAACACTGAATCAAGATAGTTCCTGGTAACTTCTGCTACAGTATGTTATAAAAGCATCCAGTATAATGATGAAACACTATAGAATAATACAAGTGAAAATGTTGATTTTCAAACAATTAATTTGAATAATACACCAAGCTGTCAGAAAACACTAATACTGTTCAGAACCTCCTAAAAATTTCAACACTATTATTTCACATTTATGGCATGACAGTGACAGAGATGCTGGTCAAGTCAGGCATCCACTTTGCTACACACTGTACAAATAGAGAAAATGACAGTCTTTGCTACAAACAGCTCTGAGCAGAAAACCCCAACCTTTTAAGACTCACAACCCACAGACAGGAAAATCTCAGCCCATTCATATATGCCTTTCCTTTACCACTCAAAACTATGGAGCAGTGCATTGCTCTGTGACAATAAATATAACCTGACATGAAAACTTGACAAGAAGGATAAATGGCAAACAGGCTGTCTTTTAACAGCTGAGCAGTGCATGTGCTGCCAGAAAGCAGGCCAAAGCTCCTCGGGTCCCTGTCAGCCCCACAGCGGCGGAGCCCTCTCCACGGCGCTCCCGAGCGTGCTGGCGCTCGCTGCGCCACATCTGGACTTGGTTACACACCCTGAGCTCGGGGCTCTTGCATCAGCCCGGCCCCTCTGCTGAAGCAGCTTCCCAGCCACTGCTTCTCCATGAACTACCCACAGAGACAGAGAGCCCCGGGAGCACGTAAATTGGGAGCACATTAACTGGTGACCCTCGCCCTGCAATCACCCTGCCTGTCTGATGATAGAGGAAATCCCCCATACAGACTGACAGCCCCCAATATGGAACAGGCAGCTCCATTTACTGGAGAGCCTGGTCAACGCCGAGCGCCTCATTAGGAAATGGGCTCTATATTGAGGGACATTCCTGCAATTCAGAGCCTAGAAACCCTAAATTAAAACAACATTGATGCCATATCCTCTTTCCAAAACGCTTCTCTTCATCCAAACTTTAATGCACATACTTAGCGAAATTAAAGGACCAAAATGTCTTTGGCAGGACTCCTTCCCTCTCTTGTGCAGCAGTACCCTTCCTGTGTGAGCGACCAGGAACGTGACAGAGTTGGGAAAGGAGAGCGTTAGCACAAGGAATGGCAGCAGAACCCTCCAGATTCTGGATAACCTTCCCTTGATGAATCCATATGTCTTCACCGATATTTGAAAATAAAAATCAACTGAAATCGTTGGAACAAGTTTTTGTTTTGTGAGTGCTGTATCTTTCTACACTCTAAAAAAAGTGAATTAATAGCAATTCAGTCAATTGTAGCCAGCATAAGAAACAAAAAGACAAAATGCAAATCCAATTCTACATGCTTGGTCAGGAAACTGCTTTCCTCATGCACTCTCTCTGTCAGAAGCTCTTCCCAGTGTGCCGTGAGAGTCAGCAATGCTGGTACCACAGCATGCACAACCCTGCCCACAAACCACCCCCTTGCGATATTGCTCAGCATGTCTATGTGCATCCTACATATRTGGAAGTGGGAATGTTCCAGTCAGCTATGTCTGACCACCAACTGAAAGAGCTGCTTTCCCACCACAAAGTCTAACCATTTCCTAGGAATGGGATGGACTGAAATACCAAATACTTATCAGGGAGCTCAACAGCTCTGAAACACAAGCGACCGAGATCAGAATCCCAGCTATGAATCCAAAGGATTGAATAAACTTTTTGGGTTCCAGAACTGCTTTTCAAAGTCTTCCAGAATATCTTGATTTGTGGCCTTTCTTGAACAGCTGTRTTCAATACATCTGCAAGTCTGAAAAGATTTTTCATTCACAATTTCTATTTTTTTTCTGTAAATTTAAGAATTACAGCTAAACTTTTAGGAAGTTCCTGAAACACAATACAGTTCTGTGGAGCTGGGACACACAGATGGATCCTTGCTCTCAAGAGGCAGAAAAGGGTCTATGTAGAGAAGGCTTAAACTCAGGAAGCAGCACAATTGTTTTGCTGGAAAATACGAGGCTGGTGACCTGTAACAACTGAAAGAGGAGTGCAAGGGCCAAGTATACAGAATATTTGCAAAGCATGTAGAAAAATGAGATTCCCCTTGACTAAATCAGTAATGAGGATCTTGTAAAATCTCACAGCCATCTTCAATGACGAATCTCCTATTTCTGGAGCTGTCAAAGTTGAAGTGGTTTGAATTTACTCAGGAAAAGCACATATTGAAACTACTGGCACTGAAAAAATGGAATTTTAGATTCCCTGTAACTTACAGAGGTGGTGGGTAATACTCTCCTATACTAAGCAATGAAGATTTTTTTCTATCTATGTTGAAAGCTGCACACACCAAAAAAAAGGATGAAATATGACAGATCCTTAAAACATAGGATGGAATTTAGGGAGGATRTGTCAAATCTCTGTTTGGTCACATAAATATTTCTCAGGTATGTTTTAAATATAGTTTTGATTGTTTATATGCAAACAGATATTCTGCCTTGGGGATTGTGGATCAGAGAATACCTCTGATTTTATACTTATACTACACATACAGCTTTTATTTATACTACCCATAGCATAGATGTGTTGAGCAGATTCCTTTCTGCTTTTAAACTTCTTTTTTTTAAGATAAAAATCTTAAACAATGACAAGTATTTATGCTGACAGCAGTTTTGGAACCAGAATCTTCAAAAGCATTTCAACAGTCCAACAAATCAYCTGAAAAAAGCTCCAACCTCAGATCCTAACTGGTCTCACTTCATACCAAGAACAATTTCAAATTAATCTCCCTTAATKGCAATTTTGGTTTATTTGGGAAATTAGGTATCCCATACATAAACAGAAAAGAACTTAGAACTGGCATCCTTACAGAAAATGGCCACGTCTTTTTAAGAAGAGTTTATGATACTGTAAGACATATCAGCACTGAATAATAATAATAATATGAACTACAACAATGTTTAAAAGAATTGCTTAGCTGAAACCTAAGTCATTACAGATAAGAACAATGTTAAAACATTAATTAAATGTACTCAAATTTTTAGCAGAAAAAAAACCCCACCACAAAATACTAAGGATTGTTCYATCTATCCACAAAGGATAATCAGAAGGGAACTGGGAAGGGCAAGGGGCATGAAAGCACCTAGGGCAACAAGAATTAAGTGTAAATTCATTATTAGTGTAAATTTCTCTTGGAATGAGTGGTACCATATATTAAGGCTGCTGCATCAAGAGACAATAACGTGAAGAACACAAGTACATAGCATTGCTGTGACCACTTCTGACTCGTTTTAGGAGTTCACCTGGCTGATCAGTGAAAGTAATTACAACTGTTGTTCAAAAGTAAACAATACAAGACTGTAAGGTGTAATTCTTGCATTCTGAAGCTAGTACAAAGAAATCCCAAAAGTGCTGTTCTTAAATTAAACCGTAAATAATTGTTATCTTAAACAACACGRCCAAAAATGCACTTGTGTTCCCTAAGGAAGAAGCAGAGAAATCCCTTATCACAATGCAGACCTGTTTGTGCCTTATGACAGCAACAGAAATCATCTGGCTGACAGATTAAATCTTGCACATAAAACTTTATGAAGATGGAAATGGTGGCACTGAAGAAGTTGATACTGGATTGGCAGCAGCATATGTGCTATTACAAGGAATGTGGCAAGGGAATAACTCAGAAAAACCCACCAGAAGTGCTGAAGTGAAAAATCTACACACATTTTTTCAGATCCTACTTCTCTTATTGCCAGGGATGCCTTTTGCTTCCTYTGTGTTTTACTGGCAATATACTTTTCACATTGCATTCAGTAAWGAAACATAATATTAAATGCTTGAACAGAAACACACTTTTTCTAATTGTTACGCCAACACAGAAAGATCTTAGAAATGGAGAGGCCAGAAATAGGAAAGGACCAATCTCCTCACAACACGAGACCTCCCATCCAGAAGTTGGCACTCCCACATGGTGCTCCTGTTGCAATCAGAAATCACAGGAGAGACTGTCTGGTAACACTCATATCTGAGCTCTACAGCTAGGAGGATTTTCTTCCAAATATGCTTCCCCAACAAGGCAAATACAAACCCCTAATGGAAGTATTACTGGTTTTGCCTGAATCTGTGACTTTGTGCCTGGAGAGGACAATACCCAAAGTCCTCTTTGTTCACAATTTGCTATACATTCTACCACGCATTTGTTGCTCAGGCACTGACACGAAGAAACTTCCCTCAATGCTGAGTCTTCTTTCTCTMCTATGTCTTACAGGCTTCCTGACCAATAGGTGGTTTGAAATTGTTAYGTATGCATTTTCTATCCAAACATATGGCAGAATTATATGTTATTAGTTCCATAAATCACAATAATAATCCCACACCAGATTATTAGCTGGACTTCTCCTAGTTTTCCTGTACCCACCTGCTGCTTGAGCTGTTGCACAAGACGGTCTTTCTCTCGTTTCAGCGCAGCCACTTCATCCTGAGTCTTCTTCTTAGAGGATGAAAGCTCTAGTAGAGCAATATTGGCATCTTTTTCACTAATGGCAGCAAGAAGGGCTTCTTGTCTGAAAAACACCCAAACAAACTACATTATTACCCTGCAAAACTTAGAGGTCTGCTCTATAAAGATTTGAACATACTGTAAATGTTGTACCAGTGTGCAACTCTGAAAAGCAGCAATAAATATTTCTGCCTGGGGTATATGTGTATTGGAACAGGAAGTCAAGACTCACACACCTCCCCCTAAAAAAACATGGTGATACCAAATTGTGGCTTACAGGATAAGAAAAACACATTATGTTCTTCTTCTGCGCCCAACTTTTCAGTTTTTAATGACTACCATTTATTATTACTTTGGCTGAACATTTTCATCCTTTATCATGCTCTAAACATTTCCAGAACAGATTATGAGAATATATGCACAAGTACTGGACTAATCATAAGAACTGTGTTAAATTACATTAGGTTAAACTGCCTATTCATGAAGTATTTTAGAAAGGTGGCATGTGACAATTTTACTGAAAGCACTCAATACTGTATATTACCAGGAGGAAATGGGCACAAAGACATCTACATGACAGATGTTGAAATAGCTACCCTCAAAGATGCTTCAGCTATTCTTTGACTTTCCTTGTGAGTAACCAATATGTAACAACATTCTGGAGCAAGGCCTTGAGGCTCAAAGGCTGTAATAACCAGCTACAGAAAGCCAATCTTGCCATACTCTTTCCCAGTGGCAGAAAACTCTCAAATAGGATTCAAAAACATTTTATGCAGGAGACAAAGRTAATTATCCTGATCATAAAACAGCAGTTCTCAAAGGAAGCCAAAGGTTTGATTATGTAAGGGAAAACAACTGTTCGACTGTTTCTGTCCTTTGACCTTAATTCTCATCTTTAGCTGGCGATGTGCAACAGGATTTAAAAGAAAACCTTGGCCTTACTGCTCAGTAGTGTTGGCTTGTTTCACCACTCATCACCTTTCAAGGAAGGAGTAAAATGAGGTCCTAAGGTGTGGTGGTGTGAAAGACAGCATCATGCAGGAGTGATGGTGAACGACAAACCAAATACTACACATTTTTAATCTACATTTCACCTAAAATAAGGTTGCCAATGCCCTTAAAGTCTTGCTGCAGCAATCAATATCAAGAAGTTTATTATCAGGATCCCAACTGAAGCCACTGTCTCAAAAATGTGAAAGAATCATGTATTTCAAGAGGAAAAGGTGTGTTTCAACAGACAAAATTGTTCACCAGCTGACAGCAGAGTGGGCTTATACAACAGACTTTCTGTGGGTGGAATTTCTCTCTGGGTTTACACAGGTGTTTCTTGTACAGTCCAAGAGAGTTAGCTTGCTTTAAATGAACAACACTATATCAAAAATCTCACAGATCCACTGTAGAGAGTACCTGGATCCTGCCTAGATAATATTTAGTAAAAGTAGCACCTTAAATTATTCCCTGCCTTTCAAAATGTAATACCACAAAGTAAAAAAAAAAAAAAAAAAAGTTGATACTTTAGGATAATCATAATGTATTCTAAATACATTTGTGCTATTAGGTAATACAGATTCTGATGACTTAATGGAGGCAAAGAACAGGAGAAAGGAAAAGGTGCACATCAGATTCCCAGTTGCAGTGTCAAGACTTTAGGTGTGGGAACGATGGATAATAGGCGTGTTATTATTGCTATTTTGTTTCTGCTGCTTTTGCCTTATGGAAAAGTATCCAATTTTGGATGTCTGCCTGAAACATGAAAAATACCAATAGGGTGAAGTGACAGAACATGATCCATGACCTCTGTTTTTTTCCAGCTATCSGTATCCTGGGAAAGACAGGCTAGCTTGGAGCTCTGGTCATTTTCACTTTCTTTAGAGTAATCTGTTTTGATTATAAAGAAACACTTACTCTTTTAATAGTAAGCCCACAATCCTCGCTGATGATTCAGGACCAGAGCCAAGAATATCTCCGTAACTCTATCTATAGAGCCATTACTCTGGTATGGAAATTGAAGGTGCCTCAAATAGCATGTAAGGCATCTACCTTCTGCAATCAAATCCTTTGTTGCCCATCTCTAATTCAGTGAAAACCCCAAGGCCGGGAAAACGAGATATGGACAGCAGTCCATAACTTTTCTTTGCTGAAAAATCTTTGCCACCATGCCTTAGAAAATAACACCCTACTGATCAAAACTTCACTACTATGTTGTGAGACGAGGGTGCTGGTCAAGAAGTGAAAGCCATTGTGGCTTTCTGATTGTTTTCTGGAACTGAAATAAGGTGCAGTTTGAACAAGAAAAATACTCTGTGTGATGTGGTAAGTGCATTGTAACCACGTTTTTTAATTCTGCAAGGTAAACATACACTGTTCCACGTGGGAGAAACGTGGGTGTCACTGTCAGCTCTGCTGGAAGGGACACGTCTGTAAAGGGAAGCTGTTCTCAGCAGAGCTTGGAACTGTCCAGTGCTTCTAAGTCCACAAAAAAAGACATCCCACCAAGTAAAAGACAAAGTTTCTGATTGAAGAGCAGTACAAACATGACTTGTTTCTCTTCTTGAGAGCTGCTATCCCCAGGGAGGCCAGAGGAACACACTGTAAGACAGGTGACGTGGCAAGAAGGAGAAAATGGGCTGCTGTGTCAAGGGTGGGAGCAGCACGTGAACAAACCAATCCATCAGGAGTGCTGCAGTCAGTCCTAGAGGCTCAGGCACTGCTACAGGCTTAGCTTCTTCAGCAAACTGAGCGTCCTCAGTTCACAACACTGGAGGTCCTGAAATGTTCTCATAAGCAGGCAAAACATGCTGAACAACCCAAGGCTGCTGAYTTTTTAAAATGCTGGCTAAGGCCAGAATCACAGAACAGACACAGCTCACTTAAGTTAATTCAGGTATTTTGGATGCTGGTACCAGTGTAGCTGTGCCAACATCAACTTAGCAGGGGAAAGCTCCTGTTTGTCTCTCCATTTGAGCAGGTTCTGTGGCATGAACTGAGCTGTACAGCAGCTCACAAGAGGTAAGCAGGTTCTGAAACAGACTGAATGTTACCAAGGGAAACCTGAAATGGCAACAGTCTAGAAAAACATACAGAAAACTGGTAAGAAAGGTTCAAGACTTACTCCAAATTGGACAAAAAGAAGAGGATTTATTTTTTCCTTCTATTTATGCTGAAGCCTTTAATTGAATGTGGATCATGACCAACACAGAGTAGAATGGCAACAAGACCAGTAAGTTTAATTCTTAAGAGACAATGGTGGATATTATGTTGAGATCAACATCAATTGATCAAGATCAATTTGCTCTGTTTGTAGTCTTTGAAAAAGTAATGCAAAGAAAAATGGGCTTGCCTTTTTAAAATAGATGACTACAAAATAGTTATAGGTCAGTAGAGCATAGAGATTTGACAACACACAACAAAGAATAGTATGCAAATGAATGTCTCCTTCAGATCTTGAACAGAAATGTCTGATTTGGGGAAGATAACTGGGCAATAGAGTACTATTACACTACGACTAATTACAAATACTAATAGAATCAAGCTGTCTTCAAAGGGGTTTCTATGGCACTTGGTTTCAAGAGACTACATAATTCCTTCACAGCMCCTTCCTAGCAAAGGAGAAGAATCCCTTTGGTAAAACACCAGAGGAAGTGAATTTTAAAAAGCAGGTTTGTACTTTGCAGTACTGTTCCCAGGGTCATAGCACTGGAATATTTATCAGYAGTATAATTAGAAAGAATAACAGGCTGTAAACAGCACTGAATTAATGATGCTTCAAAACATGAAAAGTATACATATTAATTAACAGTATGTGTTTACAGATGTCAGGAAGAATACTTACTCAATATAGAAATATTATAAATACATTGTTCTATAAAATTTTATTTCAAATTATGAAGTTTCTTCCTATGTGAACTATTTCTGAAGTTAATATGAAAGCCATATTGATAGCAAAAGCTTTCATTTTAATGTAATGGAGGAACAGGGATAATTCCATCAGCCCTAGTTGCATCATAGGGATCAAATCTGTTTCCCTTCTGACTGGCATTAAGCTGCAATATTTAAAAATCTGACACAAATTTGAAGGGCTCAGGTAGTTACAAACTCATAGCAAGAGTTCCTTCAACCAAGAATGTTGGCACTTTCATGAGGGATGGTTAAGTCTGCCAGCATTTTCAACAGGGCATATTAAGATGAACCGTAATTAGGCTGTTGTGTAATTAGGCTGTAACTGTAAAAGGCTGTTGTGCCTTTGGTACACAAGGAAAGATTCTCCTCTTTCATAAACTGTTTGCTCATATCAAGGGCATCAATCGCCACGGACAACAGCAGTGCCACTCGCACATTACTCATTTCAATTGTCTGATTTTTGGCAACCGAATTTGCTCAAAGCCCACATAAAATGCTGATACAACCTTTTAATGCTTTCCTATCAGAGACATTTAGCCTGGTGAGTCACCATTACAATAAGAACTGTATTGTTAGCATATGAATTAGAAAACCCTCCCRCAATGTGACAACTACATAAAGAACTAGCAGGCAGAGAAATACAGATACAGTACTGCACGGTTATGAGAGCTAGACAGGCAACAGCATAGAACATAAAAGCATTGTGATGTGGCATTCAGTAATTTCAATGAGTCTAGTATAATGACAGGGTCTGGGTGGGTCACACTTAATAAACTCCTAAAAAGTAATTAGGAGTACAACACAGCAAATCATTGATTCAATGGGACAGATCCCCAGGCACCAACATTGTCCTTCTCATCCCAAACTCTGTCTACCGCTACAGCAGTAGTAACAAACTCCCCGTTCTTTCCTGCTTGTTTYTGCTGGTTATAGAACATCCTCAGAAAATGAACAAACTCTTAACTTGCAGTACCTTGCAGGGAGGAGACAGACATTGTAGAGCTCTGAGCATTACGATTTGTTTCTTAAAAGTAACCTTGAACAAGACAATTCGATCAGTGAATGACATTTCATGCTGCTAATAGACCAGTAAGTCACTTAATATGCAAGTTGCCAAATTCTGCACCGGCTGTAAGTTCTGCAGCATTTAAGATGCAATTCAAA